CAATATAAAAAGAGTGTATATAGTATAAAAAAGGATTTAAAAAAAGCAACCCTCTTTAAAATGGTCATGGGTCGTGTTGTTTTAAATTCTCAGATGGATTTGAAGTGTTCAACATTTAATGTGTTAAAGTTGTAATAAATAAGTTAAAAACTTTGTCTATACAGAAAAGTATATCTTAAAAATATTAACAAATCTAATTTTTTGTTAAACGTTAGAAAGAATTGTCACATCTTGTTTTATTTTGAAATGGCTCGTGTTGGATATAGGAAGTTGTGTAGAGCAGAAGGATTTTACTGGTTTGTCATTGGTCCATATACAGGAAGTGGGAGGTGCTAGAGGAGACAGGAAGTTGCAGAGAGGTTTGTAGCTTGACCACGGAAAAAACGTTCCGAAGTTTGCTAAAATACGGAGTTTAGTTGATGTTTTATGGATTTTCAAGTCGACAGTCATTTCTAAATATCAGCTCTACATCGTTGTTATTATTTTAACCCAACATTTGCTGTATAGAAGTTTCAGTGCCTGCTATGGCATTAGCATTCACCAGCCAAGTGAATGCATCTTTAGCACTGGGAGCTAGCTCAGCTAACAGACACTCCAGTAAAGTTTCTGCTGTGAAGCTGTGAGAGTGGAGCTCAGGTCAGAGAGGTGAGAAATACTGATAATCTATGGATGTGAGTCAGAGGACTGAATCCTCACTGCTGCTGAACAACATCCTGCATCCAACTTCCTTTATCAGCAGGACTGAAGGGCTGTAGAAGGTTCCATCTATGGGAGAGGTTCCACATCCCAACTGTTCCACATCCTGTCAGGGAATCTTGTTTTATTTTGAACTCCATGCTGGATTAGGTGTGAGTCAGGATGTTTGGGCCCACATGTTTTAGTTAAAGTTGGACAATTGAAACTGAAACTTTTTTACAGTGTGAAATTTATTTTCATTTTATTTTTTGAAAACATCCCAGTTGTATTGTTTTATTTATTTATTTTTTTTGTTTCTTTTGCTCAATATAAGTTCAAAGAAGCATAAACTGTTGTGTTGTTTGGTTATTTGCAATAAGTAAAATAATTGCATAAGAAATAAAGCAGAAATCAGGCTGGATTATAACCTATAACTGATTACCTTAGGTTGTGTTTGAAGTTGTTACTGTCCTCAGGTGAGCCAAACTCAAGTCAAATCATAAATAATAAAGAGAGTTTAAGGTTTTTTTTTTTTTTTACAAACTCGGGGGCGCCTTACCTACTTCCATGGTGTATAGGTGGGCCACAAAAAGTTATAATGTCCTGGAATATGTTTCCTTTAGATATAACAATATCTGCTCAGTAGAGAGCTGAGGGAAGCTACACCACAGGTGGCATGAGGTATTGCTCAGTGAGAGAGAAGAATGTTGCACATAAGCGGCAGCAGGTCACCTCCTCCTTCAGAGGTCATTTAATGGGCTGATAACATTCAGAGTGAGTTCAATTCCCAGGGTGGCGTTGATGAGCAATCCCTCCATCTGAATGTTCCTGAAGCACCAATCAATCAGAATCGACTTTATTGGCCATCATCGTGCACACTGAAGGCATTTCACTTTGCTTACAGCAGGTATGTACGGCAGTACGTACGAGTGTGAATGTTAGTGTTCCAAGTGTGAATGTTAGTGTTCCAAGTGTGAATGTTAGTGTTCATAAAGAAAAACATGAGATTGTTAGTGAATGATTAATCCCAGCAATGCAGCCGAGTACTCAGGCTGTTAGGTGTTTATCGGAGAAACTGTCTCTGTGGAGGCTTGTTTCTGTAACTAGCTCTCTACGGCCAGGAAAGGTCGAAGGTCAGAAGATTGGAATCCATTAGAAAGAAATAGTTTAGCAGAATCATTAAAAGATTTGTATTTCAGGACTGAGGGAGGAAAATATTTAAAAAAGTTGGAACTAAACATGGAAGAACAGCAGATTTAAGGGAAAAACCACAAAGTTTAACAGATGCTGAGAACTTTCAGCTTCTTTTTAAGTTCAGAGTCTCTGAGAGCTTCAGATGTGAGATAATAAAGAGACGGCGGGGAGCAGCTGTGCTCACTGCCAGGAGGTAACCAATCAGCAGGAGGCTGGTTTCCTGCCATGCTGCCTCTGAGAGACCTGCTTTTCCTGTTTCACCAGGTTGGCAGATCTGCTTCACGGCTCTAACTGCCAACCTGACGACGCGAAGATGAACGACTGTTTGGAGAAAAATGAGGACGGAGCAAAACCTGCAGGATCCATGAGGAGCAACTGGTCCAAAGATTCACCCCCATACTTCAGCGATGGACCTGGATCACCAGAAACAGGGTGAGAGAACGGCTAAAGGAGGTTTAATCTGCCTCCTAGCTTATTGTTAATAAAATGTTTTTGTATCAAACACTGATTCTCTTATTCTATCCTAGATTACAGACACATTTTATTTACTTTTATTAGATGTGAATGTAATAATCAAGCAGCCCTCCAGCTGCATTAATCTGTCCTTTCTCACTAATGTTATTCTAATATTGTAGTTTTTAAAACGCTCCCAGTCTCTGATGAACAATAACTGACTGCGGATTTAAAGAGTCGTTTTTAAACTATAGGCCCATATTTGATGGAACATATTTCCTGGTTATCAAATGTTAGTTGTCTTCTCTGATACGCCGTTGCTAACATTGTGAAGCCCATTTCATGGCGTCACGCTGGAGCCTCTGCGGCGTTGGTGTCGCCCTGAAGGCTGAACAAAGTTCATCATCTCTCTCAGCCAAACAGATTTGATAGCAGCTTAAAAACAGAACAGATCTTCTCACTGCGAATCAGCTGCTAAAAGAGATAATTCACTAGAAACCATAGCGAGTAGTGAGATGGTGATGAT